CCCCCCCCCCCCCCCCCCTGCCTCTGTAGCCGCGTGTATTGAATTTTTCGGCACTTAAACAAGGACATAAAAATGCTTTTTGACAACCTTCGTTGGGAAGTTGGCAACCCTAGAAGCAGGGCCCTCAGCACACATCTGCTCCAGTCCTGCCCATGCAGGTCTCAATGTCCCTGAGAGGAAGCCTGCCCTCAGGAGCCCTGCAGGGAACATCTGGTGACCTCCTGAACATCTGCCCAGCGCTTTGGGGTCTTGAGGAGCAGAAGGTGACTCGCGGATGGAGTCGTTTCCTGGGCATAGCTTGCTTGTACTTGGCTTGAGAGCCACTACGACCTCCACATCTTTCCCCATTACTCCTTCCTAAGCAGCTGTTTCCAAATCGAGTGCGCACAACTGAAGGGCCTTAAGGGTTTGAAGCCATTGAAAATAAACTATTCAACCCTCGGACTCATTAAGAAACACTGTGCTTTACTTGGAGTCCTAGGATTAATAAAAACATACGGGAATGTGGAGTGTATTCGCTACCACGGCGGCGCAAAAGTCAAAACTTCTAACTCAATTATCTTTTAAATTGTTTCATGTTGCCATGGTAAGAAAGGTCTTAACACCTTTGACTTTCTGGACCTATTACTTGGATCCAATTTTTAAAAAGCATCCCACCACGGCAATGAATTATTAAAAAGAAACGTTAGCCAGGGCTCTGTTCATGGATGCTCTTCTCAGATAGCAATTTATTAGATTAATGGCCCTTTTCCTTCTTCGCTACCTCTTCAAAACTTAAGAGCAGTTCTTATTACAGAGCTGCAGCACACCAAGCCTTCGAGCTATATCATCTGCACCGAGCTGCAAATATTTACATTCAAAACGCCCCAAGGAAAAGCTGAATGGTTATAAAATCATCATGCAACCAAGTGGCCATAAGCCACTCCCACCTGTGAGAGCGAACGTGCGCCTGGAACCAGACCTTGCCAAAGGGGGTTTCAGTAAAACCCAACTCCTTTCACACTTGTGGGTGTGTTGCTCTAAAACAGGAATAGTCACACTGAGGCGTGCGAATGCGTCTGCTGCAGCTCTTTGCAGCATAGGGTATTAAAACAGCATGATGCAATTAACAGCCAATCCGGATTCTTGCATGAGGTTAACAACCCATTAAGTTATCAACTTGCACTAAGTTACTAACTTCTGTGCTGGGAGAATTAGACACCCACAAATATATATATATATATATAGAACTAGAGACAACAAAACAATGAATTCGCACCGCCGCGACTCTAAAACAGGTGTCACCGGCACTGCTGTTGTGTCAGCATAGCTCTCTGACCGTGCATGGAAGTAAGTGGCAGGTGAGCACCCAAACACCGTATTATCGATGCCAAAATAAGTAACGGTGTTGGAACATTTATGGAGGAATATACATACGGGATGTTTTGTATAATTCAGTGGCGAACATATCAAGACCCTGCCTCAGCATTTTGAAGATTAAAAACAGAAAATGTGCTCTAAAAGGGCTGAGAACAATCATTTATACAATCATAGAATCACAGAGCTGGAAGAGACCTCAGGAGGTTATCAAGTCCAGCCCTCTGCCCAAGGCAGGGCTAATCCCAACTAAATCAACCCAGCCAGGGCTTTGTCAAGCCGGGACTTAACACACCTCTAGGGATGGAGATTCCACCCCCTCCCTAGGGAACCCATCCCAGTGCTTCCCCACCCTCCTAGGGAAATAGCTTTTCCTAATATCCAACCTAGACCTCTCCCACTGTAACTTGAGACCACTGCTCCGTGTTCTACCATCTGTCACTACTGAGAACAGCCTCTCTCCATCCTCTTTGGGACCCCCCTTTGGGAAGTTGAAGGCTGCTATCAAATCCCCCCCTCACTCTCCTCATTTGATCTGAGGAAGTGGGTCTGACTCACGAAAGCTCATACCTAATAAACCATCTTGTTAGTCTTTAAAGTGCTGCATAGTCCTGCCTTTTGTTTCAGCTAGACCAGACTAACACGGCTACATTTCTATCACTCTTTTGCAGACTAAAACCAAAATCCCTCAGCCTCTCCTCATAGGTCAAGCACTCCAGCCCCCTAATCATTCTGGTTGCCCTCTGCTGGACCCTCTCCAATACATCCACATCCTTTCTGTAGTGGGGGGCCCAAAACGAGACACAACCCTCCAGATGTGGCCTCACCAGAGCCAAATAAAAGGGAATGATCACTTCTCTAGATCTGCTGGTAATGCCCCTCCTAGTGCAACCTAATATGCCATTAGCCTTCTTGGCTACAAGGGCACACTGTTGACTCATATCCAGCTTCTCATCCACTGGAATCCCCAGGTCCTTTTCTGCAGAACTACTACTTAAGCTATTCCATCCCCAGCCTGAAACAATGCTTGAGATTCTTCCGTCCCAAGTGCAGGACTCTATACTTATCCTTGTTGAACCTCATCAGATTTCTTTTGGCCCAATCCTCTAATCTGTCCAGGTCACTCTGGCCCCTATCCCTATTTAATGCTGTCCATGAAACCCAGTTGCCCCAGTGAAAACAGTAAGAGCAGTGCCATTGTACCAGTAACAGGTACATAGCATTCCTTCTACAGTTTCTCCTGCAGGCATCCTCATGTCTGAAGGGTTGTTTTGTGGGAGATTTATTGAGATTAGTGTAACATCATCGGCACTTGTGGCATTTTCCTGACAAACATGACATGACCTTGCCCTTAGGAGTTTACAATAAAAGCTAGAGCAAAAACCGAAAAGGGGATCGTATGACCAAGGTTACAACAGAGTAAAAGATCTCAAGACTCTCAAGTTACTACATATGCTTCTTGTCAGACGTTAATTACACACGGTATGTTCTTCAGTGGTCAGAGCAAAAAGTTGTGCATCTGCAATAGCAATTTAGAAGCTCTGCATCGTAACTCAGAATTAGCCACATACCGTAAGCACTGTTAAATCACTTGACTCTGTCTCTAACCATCAACCCCATTGGAAAAAATTGCAAGATGCAGTACAGACTAAATTCAAAGGGAGTTTCCCCAACTCGATAGATTACTTCCTCTAATTTCAGCATACATTTATGGAAACTCATTTCTGATTAGATGTGAAAAACAGCATAGTAGCAGAGAATGGGTTTTTATTTTAAGTGTGCCTAAAACAAGTCTGGTTTGTTCTTCATACAGTACAAAAAACAACAGACCTCATGTCATTGTAAGAGCAAAAGAACATCCATACAGGGTCAGACCAAAGGTCCACCTAGCCCAACATCCTGTCTGCCGACAGTGGCCAATGCCAGATGCCCCAGAGGGAGGGAACACAACAGGTAATGCTCACATGATCTCTTCTCCTGGTCATCCATTTCCAGACAAACAGGGGCAAGAATGGTGTTCCTAGCCTATCCTGGTAAACAGCCATCGATGGACTTAGCCTCCATGAATTTCTCTCGCTCTCTTTTGAACCCTGTTATAGTGTTGGCCTTCACAACATCCTCCAACAAGGAGTTCCACAGGTTGACTGTACGCAGCATGAAGAAAAACTTCCTTTTGTTTGTTTTAAACCTGCTGCCTATTAATTTCATTTGTTGACCCCCTACTTCTTAAATTGAAAGAATAAGTAAAAAACTATTCTTTATTCACTTTTTCCATACCAGTCATGATTTTATAGACCTCTAGCATATCCCTCCCTTACTCTCCCCTTTTCTAAGATGAAAAGACCAAGTATGTTTAATCTCTCTTCATATGGGATCTGTTCCAAACCCCTAATCATTTTTGTTGCCCTTTTCTGAATATTTTCCAATCCCAATAGATCTTTGAGAGGAGGCGACCACATCTGTACGCAGTATTCACAGTTAGGGCCTACCATAGTTTTATATAGAGGTAATAAGATATTCTGTCTTATTCTCTCTCCCTTTTTTTAATCATTCCTGACATTCTATTTGCTTTCCTGGACTGCTGCTGCACACCGAGTGATTGTTTTCAGAAAACTAGCCACAGTGACTGCAAGATCTCTCGAGTAATTGTAGCTAAATTAGTTCCCGTCATATTGAATGTTAGTTGGGATTATTTTTTCCAACGTGCATTACTTTATGTTTATCAACATGAAATTTCATTTGCCATTTTGTTGCCAAATCACTTAGTTTGGTGAGATCTTCTTGAAGCTCTTCACAGTCAGCTTTGGTTTTAACTATCTTGAGTAGTTTGGTATCATCTGCAAACTTTGCCACCCCACTGTTTACTCCTTTCTCTAGCTCATTTATAAATAAATTGAATAGGATTGATCCCAGCACAGATCCTTGGGAGACCTCACTAGTTACTTCTCTCCACTTGGAAAACTGACCATTTATTCCTATCCTTTGTTTCCTGTCTTTTAACCAGTTATCAATCCATGAAAGGACCTTCCCTGACAACTTACTTTACTTAAGCGCCTTTGGTGAGGGACATCAACACAATACTTGAAATAAGGCCATACTGGAAATAATGTCAATACTGGACAAAAAGATTTATAAGCATTCTAAAGGGAACAGGAAACCCAGGAACTATTTTCATCAAGCAATTGGTCTATGGGATTAACTCCTTGAATTTCAAAAATCTGATCTTGCCTTTTGCTCATACTGTAATAGCAAAGAAACCAACCTCCATTTCTGATCGTTCCAATCCCGCTGTAGAAGTCTTCAAAGCTGATTACTCCAAGTCCACTGGGGTCTAGGTATTTTGTTAGGTCCTTCACCTGCAATTACAAAACCGGTATTACAAATTTCACAGCAAAGCATTTCAGACACCGCATATGGCACTTGGGAAGACTACTCAGAGGGCACTTTGTTGGACTGTCTCAGGCAGCAGATTCAGCCTCATGAGAGCAAATGGCAAAGAGTTCTGCTTCAGTGATACCATGCTAACAAGAAGTCTATGTAACGGGGCACAAGCAGACCGGGCCAAGAGGTAGCTGGGATTTAATGAACCATTAAATGGGAGCGCAGTTCTAAGTGCAGTCTTAATACCGAAGCTGATGGACTTGGCGTTCTAAAGATGAAATGAAGTGAATATGAGTCAGTCCAATATTTGTTTCAACTTAAAATCTTTTCAAATCAGCACTTTTTTAAATAGTCGCTTAATTGGGACAGGTGCTTAATTGGGACAATAGGCTGTCCCTTAGGGGGTCCCAATTAAGAGGATTCAACAGTAACGAACTAATCTGTGCAACGTATTTAGACATAATTGGAAACCCAGTCATGGTGAGGTAATGTTTAATGGGAGCAGGGCATAGTGGGGGAGGGGGAAATATCACATCAGCAGCTAGCAGGGATTAGGAGGTTAGTACTGAATAAGAGATAAAGGAGAAAAAAGACATTTCTGGCAAACTAGCAATGATAATTTTGGCATTTCAAACAGAAGAGATAATTAGAGAGCAAAACCAAAGTCATTTTTCGGCAGTCCAAACAAAGGACTTCAAAAAGATGCATCTAATTCCCTCAATGGCTGCTACTGAGTCTTTGTTTCAGCCAAACAATTATCGTTCTCAGCATTCTTAGAATGAACTATTCTATTCGTCACTTTCCTCAACTGCTATTTTAGCAAGTTAGCCTTTTAAGTGACATTGAGACAAAATGTTTTTATACACACACACACACACACACACACACACACAAAACAGGAAGTGCAGACACTGAAGAGACACACAATGGAAATGATACAATTTGTTTCGAACTGCTGTACAGAACTTTCCAAGTCACATCCTCCTTTCCCCTCAATAGAATCGCATCAGGAAGCTCAAATTCTCAGGAGTTTTTTGGGGCTGAAGTGTCCCCCTCAAAATAAATAAATATATACATAAAACTACTCTTGGGTCCTCCACCCCCCACCAAATAAGTTCTGAATACAAACTGATTTTGGATTCCAGTTGCTCAGAGTTGCTTGTTGCTGGGGCTTGGATAATTTCTCTATTTTTGTTTGCACTTGACAAAAAGGTGACAAAACACTAGTTATTTTGAGAAAAACCTTGCACCTACAAAGAAACCAAAACCAAGCAAGAATGGGAGAAGCAGGAGTGTGGAGTTTACCAAGCTTAGAAACATCCCTTTGCGTTGTCAATGGGTTGTGAATGGCCCATCATTGGGCACAGGTCCGTATTTGTATATAAAAGGGCACCCGCACTTCAGTGACATTTAATCGAAGGTTCCGTGGCACCCCTGACATTCTCATGCACGGTTTCTAACATTTCCAAGAGGGGAGAAATACATCATTGCTATAGAAAGTCTCCACCTACAAAAACCAATTGCTAACATACCATTAATGCTGTGCACGGGAAGTGACAAGCAATAAACCACAAACATTTTAAGGTAGGTGTCTCCTCCACGTAATTAAACTTGTGAAACTAAAACCAGCGTGATGTATAGGGGTGGTTACTTGTATGAATGTTCTGTGTTGGAACATTTTTGCTTTCAAAAAGAACTAAGAGCATGCCAGCCTGCAAATTGCTCAGAGAACCTAGGTATGGCTAAGTTACTTCAACCAATAAAAAAACCGTACAATACTTAGACAAAGTTAAAATATTGCATTTTGACAGAAAGTGTGCAGATTTAAGGATAAAAGGATCAGACCCCCCTATGCCAGACTGACAAATGTACACTAATTTAAGAATAAATTAATGCCCATTTTCTTCATTTCAAGCATATCTTCGAGAAAACTAAACATACTGGCAATAGTAGAGTTTATCACCACAGTACCTCACCTTGGAGTCTCAAAACCTGTTTTCAATCAAACTCCCTGAACTTCTTTAGGGCTGAAGTAACCTCTCAAGGAAAAAAAAAAATAATCTTAGGTCTAAGTCAAGCCAGGACCAGCTAGGGTAGATTAGTGGAGACCTGCTGAAGTCAACAGAGCAACACACAGACGTACGTGTCAATTAAAGGACTGTCCCCCAAACGTGGAAATTAAGTCAAAACCAATTCCGTCATCTTGCGGGAGTGGGGCATTGTTAGATTTTATTTTAAGTAAGTGGAGGTGAAAAGCAAAAACCCAACCGCTTTTCCTGTTTTTGGAAAAAACACGTATTTGTTATTAGCTGCTAACAAACTGCTAACCTCACATTTCAACCTTTGATTTTAATCAGAGTCCAATTTCCTGTACGACTGAAAAAGTGCTTTAAAAGAAAACAAGCTTGTAAGAATGTATCCATGCACACAGCCTCAAGCAAGTAGCTGTTCCACCACAAACAGCAGGGGATACCAAGCTGGGAGGGGTTGCAAGTGCTTTGGATGATAGGGTCAAAATTCAAAGTGATCTGGACAAACTGGAGAAATGGTCTGAGGTAAACAGGATGAACTTTAACCAGGACAAATGCAAAGTGCTCCACTTAGGAAGGAACAATCCGTTTCTCACACAGAATGGGAAGCGACTGTCTAGGAAGGAGCCCTGCAGAAAGGGATCTAGGGGTCATAGTGGACCACAAGCTAAATATGAGTCAACAGTGAGACACCTGCCCAAAAAAAAAAAACAAAAAAAACAAAAAACAAAAAAACACATGATTCTGGCATGCATTAACTAGAGCGTTGTGAGCAAGACATGAGAAGTCATTCTTCCGCTCTGCTCTGCACTGACCAGGCTTGAATTGGAGTGCTGTGTCCAGTTCTGGGCACCACGTTTCAAGAACACTGAAGAAATCGGAGAAGGTCCAGAGAAGAGCAACGAGAATGATTGAAGGTCTAGAAAACATGAGCTATGAGGGAAGACTGAAGGAATTGGGCTTGTTTAGTTTAGAAAAAAGACGACAGAGGGGACATGATAGCCGTTTTTAAACTATCTAAAAGGGTGTTACAAGGAGGAGGGAGAAAAATTGTTCTTCTTGGCCTCCGAGGACAGGACAAGCAGCAACGGGCTTAAACTGCAGCAAGGGAGGTTTACGTTGGACACAGGGAAAAGCTTCCTAACAGTCAGGGTGATTAAACACTGGAATAAATTGCTTAGGGAGATTGTGGAATCTCCAGCGATGGAGATATGTCAGAGCAGGTTGGACAGACACCTGTCAGGGATGATCTAGATGGCGCTTGGTCCTGCCAGGAGGGCAGGGGGCTGGACTCGATGACCTCATGAGGTCCCTGCCAGTTCTAGGATTCTACAAACTCTAAGGGCCTGCAAGCATGGTTGTGCTTTGCACAGCACGCCTCTGATTTTGATTGAGGCCTACGGGCATTGCGCAGTATAACACTATAACAAAGACTCAACCCCAAGTGGGCAGAAGGGTTTAATTGCACGGTTGCGGACAACACGACCGACTTGCACCAAACCCCCAGAGCCCAGCTCCACAGTGGCACAGCTGGCCAATAATCCCCCGGTGCACACAGGCAGGCCGACTGGCACCACCAGTCCGAAGCCACATTGCAGCAGTCCTCACAGGGTCAGGCTCTCCAGTGCACCAGCTTCACCTTATGCTGCACAAAGTGACCCTCACTCAGCCAGAATTCCCTTTGTTTATGGAGACCCTCCACGAGCATGAAGCTGGCAGAGACAGCGCGGTTATCCCCCAGGCGGGAAGATGAGCCTCCTACGGTGCGAGGGGTGCTGCGGAGCTTGGGGCCAGCCCCACAGTGCCTCACTGACATCAGGAGGCAGCGGATCGTTCTGTGGCTGGGGCGGAGAGAGGTAAGCTACTTTGAATTGAGCCGGAGCCAGGCAACAGAGAACCACCGCCGCCCTCAGTCAACACGCCGATATTAGAAGAGGAGCATCCCTACAGCTCCGAGGCAGGAAGCGGACGGGTCTGTGCCATACCCCACATCGGCACCCTCTGTCCGCCCACAGGGAAACAGCTACCTCAGCCTGTGTCCTTGCTACGTACACACACCTCCACTCAGACACCTAGAGACTGTGCACGCTTTCATGGGCCACAGGAGTCCCCTCTCGTTCTCATTTACTAAACATCACGACAACATGTTACGCACATAGTTAAGTTGTAAGAAAGAAATACTGTGATAGATGACAGTATTTGTTTCTCAAAAGAGCAAATGTACAGTGAGTCAACCTGTAGAACTCCTTGCCAGAGGATGCTGTGAAAACCTGTTATAGTCTAGGTTTTCCCCAAAAGGCTAGGACGACAGGTCCATCAATGGCTATTAGAGGCTAGGGACACCATCTCTGCCCATCCTGGCTGCTTGTCAGAAGCTGGGAATGGGCAACAGGGGAAGGATCACTTGATTCCCTGTTCTCCTATTCCCTCTCGGGCATCTGGCATTGGCCACCGTCGGCAGACAGGATACTCGACCTTAGGCTGTTCTAATGTGAGCAGTTGCATTTCTTGATGTGTATGAGCTTACTGCGGTGATAGGGATACAAAGTTAGTGCGTATTTTTGCATGAAACAGAAATAGGAAGTGAGAGTTCGTTTACAAGAATCATTATCTTGAGACAAAACAAGATCTGATAGAGATAGGTATGTACGTACATACCAGCCATTCGTATTAACACAAACACCAAAAAAGCAAAACTTTTCACACCAAATCAATGTTTTGCTTGCTGATGAGAGCAAGAATTAATTTTTAAAAAGTCGACCTTCAACTTCAGCAATGCCTTGTGACCACCCTTTAAGTACAAGCCTTATGGAATGCTGCACGGAATTGTAAGTCTACAAGGGATGTCGAGAGGTGTTCTAACTAGCCAACGTCGGTGAAAAGAGGAAGCTTTCCAAAGTGCTCAATGCCTAAGGTTTAATTACTTGTCAAGTACCAACCTGCTT